TAACTGTAATGTGTAAAATTCTGTTAAACTTATTTGAGTTGAGTGACTGAATGGACTAGATACCCTCACAAAATATACCCTGTTAGTTTTCTTTCGTAATCTGGCAGTAATCAGTTTATCGGTTAGAATGACGAGATAAGAGTAAAAATTTACATTATGCATGAGGCCTTCGACCCGTAGTTATTTATATACAACAAATGGATTTTACTGTGTTATGCCTGGGATTCCCCCGTTCAGTGATAAAGTGCCATTGCGGGACTTTTTGATTTGCCAGCTCGAACGCTCGAACTCTCCACAGTGAGGCAAACACAAACCAAATAGGCCATGAGTGTGACATATATGGAACATACAACTTTGGCAAAAAAAAAATGTACTAAAAATATCTTTAAAAAATCGACCATCTTTTAAAAACTCCTAATACTTTTTTCTTCTTCAAAATTACCAAACTGATTGATGAAATCTTGATTTTACAATATGTGCTTGAAAGACAATTTTTTTTTTAAAGAGATGGTCACAATTTGCCAACTCAGTAATGCGCGAGAAAAGACAGGAAAAAGAAATACTGAATCGTTTTTATTCGTTTTGTGGTTCGTTTATTACATAGTAAATGCCTGTAAAACTTGGATTTACTCATATACAGTATTCCTTATATTTCCGTGTGCTTTTATTAAATATATAACATTTGTGTGTTTGGCTTTTAGTAAAATAGATTTTCATATAATGTGCTTACACCTATAGGGTATATACATGTAGAGTGTGCTTTTATATGAGGTGCTAGTGACTGGTAGCTTTGCTAGTATATGCAGACTAATATCAATTGCTAATCATTTATGTTAACTAGGAAGATTATATTATCCACAAAATACAGTATAATAAATTGAGGAATAATCATGAAAAGGGAATAACCAAAAGGGATTAGACAACGGATTAACATTAAATTCCACAAGGAATGTCAGGGAAAGTTCATTATATGATATGATGGGAGACAAAGAAAAGCTTTTCCTTTTAAAAATACCATTAGAATAAAACGGAATGTACTTCATCGGTATCTTCCTATCTATTTAAGTAATTTGAAAGTACCTTGAAAAATGAAACCTCAGTTCCCATCACTATTGCATAATGACTACTCAATCCTTGCATAGTTGATTGGTCCCTAACACACAGAACAGGAATGCTAGGAAAGGGCCATATTAGGAACAAAGAACAGGAAGGAGAGGGACAGGGAAAATAGCAAAAATGGGGTAACATGATAGGGGAAAATCCTTGAAGCTACCCTAGCAGGTGAAGGTTCTGAGTAGGTGAAGCATGCGGTGGTGTCTCTGGTGTCTCGCAGGTGAAGGTGCTCTGTGAGACGCGCGACAGGGACCACTCCGAGGAACTGCGCTCGGCGCTCCACCAGCGCTACAAGATCCTCCGCTTCGGCAGCCTAGCGGTCACGCCGGCGGACGCCTCGCAAAGGGACTAGCTCTTCCATCCGTCCGCCTCCTCCCCACTCCCTCCCTCTTCTTGCTTGCGCGCTCTTCTCTCTCTTTCCCGTACGGCTTTCTGTTGTTGTTGCTTTTTCTTGCTGAGTGTGTTTGCTGCTTGTCCTTACTTGCGGGTTGTGTTAGCCGCGCATGGGGTATGTCGCTTGTATATAAGAAAATGCATGGAATGGAAATAGATTTAGTATTTATCATTATTTAGTTGGATTTTATGTCTGCTTTACTTGTATTATATTTTGATGGATTGGGTGTAATATATTCTCTTACAGACTGGTGGAAACGTCCCTGTGTTTTTTTTCATTTAATACAAAAGGACAAGGACACAGCATGTTTTGAATTTTGAACGTACACAAGGACGGTGCGAAAAGCAGTATCTAATTATAATACGTCTGCATCTATTGCTGCAGCTTTTGGTCTGTTCATGTAATTGTATGTGTATACGCCTTTGCATATATGTACTGATTTATACCACCCTATAGGCATGCGATGTGTTAAGAGTGTGAGAAAGATGTGTATGTGTGTGCTTGCGGGATGGTGCGTGTGCTGAAGAGAGTGTGCGTGCGAGAGAGAGAGAGAGAGGGAGAGAGAGAGAGAGAGAGAGAGTGAAAGAGAGAGAGGGAGAGAGAGAGAGAGAGAGAGAGAGAGAGAGAGAGAGAGAGAGAGAGAGAGAAATATAAATAAATATATATATATATATATATATATATATATATATATATATATATATATATATATATAGAAAGAAAGAGAGAGAGAGAGAGAGAGAAATATATATATATATATATATATATATATATATATATATATATATAGAGAGAGAGAGAGAGAGAGAGAGAGAGAGAGAGAGAGAGAGAGAGGGGGGAGGGAGGGAGAAAGAAAGAGAGACAGAGAGAGAGAGAGACAGAGACAGAGAGAGAGGGGGGGTATAGAGAGTGAGACAGAGAGTTAGTGAGTGAGAGACAGACAGACAGAGACAGAGAGAGTGAGTGAGTGAGTCAGAGAGAGAGAGAGAGAGA